ACTTCTGCATCTTCTAGTTGAGGTAAGAAAAACATTCTGCTACACTAAGAACCTTTTCAGAGGGCAGAATATGGAAGTTATGCAAAATGTACACACAATTCCCAAGGGCTGGAAGAAAGGAAGGAGAGGAGGGAGGGAAAGAAAGAGGAAGAAAAAGAAAAGGAGGTGGAGAGGAAGAAATGTATTTTGCTTACCATGCTCATAAGGAGAAAATGTTCCAGCATCTATGTTAATGTAGGGGTCAATTTTAATTGAAGTTACATGTAAACCACATGACTTCAGTATTGTGCCTACACTGCTGGCGATGATTCCTTTTCCAATTCCTGATATAACACCACCAGTAACCAGAATGTACTTCATTTTACTTTTTGACCTAGAAGAAGGAAAAATTACAGATAAAATAAATATACCTCACCATACAAACTCGTTGGGTTTCAAATACTGGTTCTGCCAATTACTATGAACTCTCTCAGAGTCTTTCAGTTTCTTTGTCTGTCACATGGCTTCAGAAGGTTCTTGTCAGCTGTAAATAGGACAAACATTTCTTGGATCACTGAATGGCTTTAGTCAAATATGAGTAGAAAAACAACTGCTACTCAAATAACGTGGCTTTTGTATAAAGCTTTGACAATTAAGAACCTTCACAGTTGACCTAATAAAAAACTATCCTCCAAATGTTGGCTGACATCACAGCCAGACACTGGAATACCAGGCAGGTGTCTCATTATTTTCCCTATATGGGAAAAAAACTTCAAGCTTGGATAAGCACTGTAATTCTCCATGCAAGAAATAACGTCTTTGGCTAAATTATAGTGCATCACCAAGAAAACACAGCTTCTCTGGGTTACAGAAGACAGACTAAAAGGAAAGAACTTGAAAATTTAAAAGTAGGAACAGCTAAACCTAAAATGCTTTTAATTTAAGGTAGTTCTCATAAGTTAATAACTTGCTCCTTGCCAGCAATCATCCCTAGGTATGTCATAAACAGAGTCTGTACATGTGGGGAGAAAGGAACACTGGATAAGAAACTAGTCCAAAGCACGTAAAAGGCAGGGGACTCAGAGAGGGGAGATTAGATTAAATCCAAAGAGCAGTGCAGTCGTGGCAGGAAATGAAAAAGCAGACTTGCTGAGAGATGAAAGGGGTGGATATAAGGACAACAGAGTGAATATGCAGGTGAAACAGCACAGACAAGAGGTCAGGAGACAGGGATAGCTCACCAGGGAGGATTTATCACTGGTCCCCAGCTTCAGAGGACCAGAACACCAATTGATCAGCAAACCCAAATGTGACCAAAATGAGATACACAATCACCAAGTAGCAGAAAATGCTTACTTTGGCACAGTCAGGATATTTTCCTCCTCTAGGAATGTTCCATGTGAAGCCAAATTATAATAAAAATAAGCTAAGAAAGGAACAAGAAAACTGGAGAAGTCTGTTTGAAGCAGTCCCCCATCCTACTCCCCCCTCAGATCAGGAATGAACACACTTGGCAAGAAAATAAAATGCTCAGAATGTCTTCCTCCTGGGACAGCCAGGAAGACACCATCCTGCTCATTCTAATCTTTTGCAGCACTCCAAAAGCATGCTTCCTGGTTTCTGCAAAATGTATGAGAGTACCAAAAAGTTTTACAGACAGACAAATCAGAGAAGTGCTGACTAAACAAAGTCAATTGTTTCCTTAAAGCAAGACCTCTGGGACTATTTAAAAAGTTGACCTGGGTGGCGCCTGTGGCTCACTGAGTAGGGCGCTGGCCCCATACATGGAGGGTGGCGGGTTCAAACCCGGCCCCGGTCAAACTGCAACAAAAAAGTAGCCGAGCGTTGTGGCAGGCGCCTATAGTCCCAGCTACACGGAGGCTGAAGCAAGAGAATCGCCTAAGCCCAAGAGCTGGAAGTTGCTGTGGGCTGTGATGCCACAGTACTCTACTAAGGGCAACAAAATAAGACTCTGTCTCTAAAAAAAAAAAAAGTTAACCCATAAGTAAGTGAGGTGATGGTTATGTTCATCAGTTTCCAGTTTCCAGGGGTCCTCAAACTTTTTAAACAGGGGCCCAGTTCACTGTCCCTCAGACCGTTGGAAGGCTGAACTGTGGCTGCTAAGCAGGACAGGCAGCAGTGGCAAAAACACCCGGTGGGCCGGTTAAATGTCCTAGGTGGGCCGCATGTGGCCTGCGGGCTGTAATTTGAGGACGCCTGGTTAAGCATTCCACATTGTATATCATCACATTGTATAGTTATGACTTAACACAAAATTTAAAAAAAAGTTAGCCCACACTGTGATTTCCCAAGAGGACTACCCACTGTTATTTGACCCTAAGTCTCTACTATTTGGGAGAAATACTACTCTGTCACCTTATTTACTGATGCATGAATATCAGGCTTGGCTATGTTTTAGATACATACATCCTAACCGACAGACTCCTTTGACCAGGCTCAGACTCCATGGCTCACACCTATAATCCTAGCACTCTGGGAGGCCAAAACAAGAGGATTGCTGGAGCTCAGGAGTTTAAGACCAGCGTGACCAAGAGTGAGACCTCATCTCAGTTAAAAAAAAAAAAAA